GACAGCAACTTGTCTGTTCCCCTTCCCCCAATTCCCCAGCACTGTTCCCATCCCCCCAATTCCCCAATAAAAATCTTAAAAAAAAAAAGTGATAGATGGCAAAGAGCAAAAGTTAGATTCAATCACAGGGTGAATTTTCTTAGTGACTAATGTCTTAAGTTTATACAATTAGCTATCAAAGTGATTGTTATTGAAATATCTATAGGAAATAATATAATGTTCATCTGTAACTCATTTGCTGTTTAACTTCCATTTTTCCCATGGAAACAGTTGTGATTTTGGATTAAGTGAGGTTTTTTAGGAACGTAGCCATTATGCTATGTCATAATTGCCTGTATACAGGAGGTAACATGAAATGAATGAACCATTTTCTTGTTTTCCTTTGTAGGGAAGATGGAAGAGCTGAGTCAAGCCCTGGCTAGTAGCTTCTCTGTATCTCAAGATCTGAATAGCACAGCTGCCCCACACCCCCGCCTGTCCCAGTACAAGTCCAAGTACAGTTCCTTGGAGCAGAGTGAGCGGCGCCGCCGGTTATTGGAACTTCAGAAATCGTAAGGGATGCTTTAACTCCTTGGCTTCTATCTCTAGGTTGGGCACTGTGAACCCTTCATGAGGCTTTAGGCTTGCCTCTAGAGAACCCACTTCAAAGTAAACACTTTGTAGGTTTATCGTCTTGCCCATGAGGCTGGAAGGGGTAAATCCTGAGAGAGATAGACATCCTTTATACCCAGAGCTTAGGAAAAGATGAGGAAGTAGGGAGTGGCTAAAGTTTGAAAGTAAAAGTTAAGTTATTTGGTTAAGTTTTCTTTCCCTCCTGGCAGCAGTACTGAGCTTTGCAATTTAGGGACTTGTGAAAGCCACGCCCAGACTTCCACTCCCCACATTCCCTGTGTGGCTTCTCCTGCACTCTGAATCCTGGCATTGGTGTGGTCTTCCTGTCTGACGCAGCCCAAATGTCTCTGTGGAGCCCTTGGGAGTTCCAGACAAATAATTCCACAGGAAACCTGAGGAAATGTCTTCCATACACATAATTCTCAGTGCCAAGATGGCACACAAGGAAAGAGAGCAGGATAGGAGTGTTTGAGGCTGGGCTACTCTGTAGTCAGGGCCTCTCCTTTTGTTCTCAGTGCAACATGGGCCTCTTCTGGGTAATAAATTAAGGAATTGAAAATTAGGAGGAACTATTAACAGCTGCACAGTTTCTGTACTGTCTGCATTTTGTCCAATGCTGCATCACTGGATGTATTTAGCAGAAATGGTTCCCTGTGGCCTCTGGGTTGCTTGCAGATTACAATTGCAGATCACTCCTAACCCCCTTTTTAAAAAATTATAATTTTGTATTTTGAATTTTGAACTATGAATACATACGATGAATGTATTACCTATTCCAAAATAATTGATGAAAAGTCTCCCTCCCAATTCTGTCCCCTAGCCATCCAGTTCCTCTCCCATATTATTAGTTTCTTGTGTATCCTTCCAAAGATATTCTATGCACATATGAGTGAGCAAGTTGTGGTTGCATGTATATATAAGCTTTTTTTTTTTAACAGAAGTAGCAGTGTAAAATATACTATTCTGCACATTTATTTAACAGTTTATTTTGTTTTTGCAGAAATTCTATATTGGTTCACAAAGTACCAAGTATTCTGTTCCATTGAATGGATAGTTCATGATATAATCTAACCAGTCTGCTGCTGATGGGCGTTTGGGTAGTTTCCTTCTCTTGTGCTTATAAACAATGCCCAGGAAATAACCACGGATGTGCACCCTTTTGCACATGAACAAGTACACCAGCTCTCCCTTATTCTTGAGATGAAAGACCATTCATTGTGCTTGCATATGCTCTCTGGTGTGCCCCTTCATGTGAGTGTGCAGGAACACGTGTGTGTATGTGAAAGAAGAATCCAGCTTAGTCGGTATCACTGCCTCAGTGGATGACCTTTGGCCTTAGCATTGGCCTTAGCATTGAGGAAGTCAAGCCTAGAAGGTTATGCGGTATCTACAAGTTACTTTGGAACAATTAGGTTCCAAAGGTTCTTTTTCCTCTCAATTTCCCAAACTTTCTACAATATGTAGTTTTTAAAAAAGAGGAAGATAGGGCCGGCCGAGTGGCGCGTTGTTTGAGAGTTGGCTTGGGACGCCAGCTCTGGGCAGCAGGACTCCGGTTCGGATCCCACATGAGGGCCAGTGACGCTGCGCCCTCTACAGCTAGGATGGTGAACAACAGCTCTACCTGGGGCTGGGCTGCCATGAGTCGCCGGTGATGGCATAGGTGGTAGTGGGGCTGGCCGGCAGCTGGTGTGCGCTTTCGTGAGCCGCTGTGAGCGGCCGTCCAATGGCTGGCGAGCGACTGCCTTCTGTGAAGAGCGCATTGATAGTACCAACATGGGCCAGTGGAGCTACGTCCTCCACGGCTGGATTGAGGAACAAAGGGGCAGCGGCTTGTTTGTTCCCCTTCGCTGTTTCCCTCCCCCAATTCCCCAATAAAATCTTAAAAAAAGGAAGATAATGATAAAAGGAAACAAATAAGTAAAAGATACTGAATCGTACGCTACATGGTCTTTTTTGAAAGTTAGACAGGAGCTGGAGAAAGGCTTTAAAATTCTCACTGCATCTCAGTGATTCCTCTCTTCATTCCTGGGGGCCTTTGCATTAGATGTCTGCCAGACAGAGAAGTATCAGCCCTTACCTGGGACAGAGGTGAAAGTCTCAGGTCGGGTGAATGGGAGTGGGGTCAGCTTTTCCAGCTGGAAAACCTTGAAATTTACTTAAAATATTTTACTTTGCCCATTCTTAGGAAACTGGGGAAGGCTGTGTTTAGAGTATTTAGGTTCTGTGAGGAGATGGTCACTAGTTTAAGCCTTACAGAGGAAATTCTGTTGTCTCTTATCGCATCGGAATCCCCAGTTGCTCCTGAATTTGGAGGCTTTGAATTGAATTAAATCTGCCACACTGTAAGCTGTCTTCCTATAAAACACAAAGGCCTGTCTATGTCTTTTCTTTCTCCAGCAAGCGACTGGATTATGTGAATCATGCCAGAAGACTGGCCGAAGATGACTGGACAGGGATGGAGAGTGAGGAAGGAGAAGAAAAGAAAGATGATGAAGAAATGGACATTGATACTAGCAAGAAGTTACCAAAACGCTATGCTAATCAAGTGAGTATTCCAGAGACGATTAGGCCCAGCTAGTCCCACTCCACTTACTTTATAGTCAAACCCCACTGCAATAAGTGTTGCCATAAAGAGAGGAGGAGGTGGCAGGACCAAGGAGTGAGAACTGCAAAGAAAGTGCTGATGTTCGGAAGTTTCTGGCTGAAGAGAAGAGCTGGATTACAGTGCCGTGTGCAGACTGGGGGTCGCTGGTGGAGACTGTGTCTAGTGGGTTTGGGAACCATTACGGCAGGCTGTAAGCAGGCTTCTGGCTTGCTGCACTAGGGACTCCATGCACTTATCACTTTAGTACTCATTGCATAGCTGTTCTGGATCGGGCCTCCTAGCCTAGCAGTGCCCCCATCCCACCCCCCAGACTGGTGGTTTTTCCCAAGTAGTGGATTAAGAATGTTAGTTTTGGATTTTCACAGTCACACGATGGAAGATAGGAAGTACATCTGCCCTTGAATAGAAGGAGCCTGCCCAGCCACCCTAGGCCAGCCGGTGGCCTCTGTGTAGCTGAGGGCATGAAACAACAGATCACTGTAAGCACCTTGACTAAGTGCCCTGTTGGTTCCAGAGAGCAGCGCCACAGGGGCAGCAGGCGTGGAGACTGGCCAGCGCTCTAGGCAGTCCAGGGATTCCCAAAGGCAGGATATCAGTCCTAGTGGGACTCACAACCAAGTGTGTTGTCATCCCAGAACCTTCTCCACCTTTAGAATATGGTCCTGTGTGCACACACTCCCCTCTTCCTTCTTTGCCCTAAACACAGCACAGATAGCATCCTCTATGACAGCATAATTCCGTTGTGTTTAGCATGTGTTGTTGAAGTCCCTGCTCTGTGTTAAACTAGGCTCTCTGTGGGGAAGAAACAGCCACTGTACTTCTAGACTGAGGGCAGAGTAAGGTTTTTGCTATAAACAAGGGAGATTAACTGCTAGTAGGGAAGGAAGCAGGGTTGTGAAATCAGGAAAAAGTTAATAAAAGGAGGCAGTTTTGAAGTGTGGGTAGGACATGGACAAGCAGAGGTGTGGGGCATCCCAGGGCATTCCGGGCAGAAGGAACAGGCTTAGCAAGAGCCCAGAGGTGGGAGAGGAGGATGTGGTGTGTTCAGGAGTGTGTACTGGGCAGTGAGGAAGCAGCAGCATAGGGCTGCATGAAGGGATACAGCAGAAATATGAGTGGAGTTAGACTGTTTTAGACTGTGGGGACTACTGGGGATTTTTGAGCCAGGGACTTCACGTGATGATAGCCACATCTGGGTGTAGAAGGGCCTGGAAGAGAGAGACTGTGGTAGGGAGCTTAGGTTTGCTAAAATGATGTGGTGATGGACAGTGAAGGTGGGAAGGAAATGAGGTCATGTGCCTGAGAAAGGTCGCCAGGTAGAACAGACAAAATTAAGCAGTGGGTTGGATAGAAGAGGCACTATGAGGAGGCACTAAAAATCCAGGCTCTTTGTTGACCTTGAGCAAGTTACTTAACCACTCTAAGTCTTGGGTTTCTTATCTGTAAAATGGGGGATAGTAATAGCACCTTTCTCATAGGATTGTTAGAAGGGTAAATGAGATATAGTGTACCCTAAACACCTAGCCCAGCACCCATAATGACACCCCACAAGCATTAGCTGCTACTATTTTTTTAAACAGTCATATTGAGATATAATTCACATACCATAAAATTCACACATTTTCAGTATACATTTCAGTAGTTTTTAGTATATTCATAGGGCTGTGCAACCATCACCACTGTCTAATTCCAGACCATTTTCATCATCCCATAAAGAAACTTCATACCCATTAGCAGTCAGTCCCCACGTCTCCTTTCCCCGAGCTCCTGGCGATCACTACTCTGCTTTCTGTCTCTATAGCTTTGCCTATTCTGGACATTTCATAGAAGAGGGATCATACAAGATATGTCCTGTTGTGTCTGGCTTCTTTCACTCAGCATAAGGTTTTCAAAATTCATCTGTTGTAATGTGTTCATTCATTTTTATTGCCAATAATATTCTGTATAGATAGACCACAATTGTTTATCCGTTCAGCAACTGGCTGTTTGGGTTGTTTCCACTTTTTCGCTATTATGAGTAATGCTGCTGTGAACATTTATTTACAAGTTTTTTTCATGGTCCTATGTTTTCATTTCTCTTGGGTATATGCCTGGTAGTGAAATTACTAGGTCATATGTGTGGTAACTCTGTGTTTAACCTTTTGAGGACTGCCAGACTGTTTTCCAAAGTGACTGCCCCATTTTACATTCTCACCAGCCATATATGAGAGTTCCAGTTTCTCCACATCTTTGTAAATGCTTGCTGTTGTCTGTCCTTTTAACTAGGGCCATCCTAGTGGGTGTGAAGTGGTGTCTCATGGTTCTGATTTGCATTTCCCTAATGACTAATGAAATCGAGCATCTTTTCATGTGCTTATTAGCCATTTGTGTATCGTCTTAGGAGAAATGTCTATTCAAATCCTTTGCCTCATTTTGCCTGCATTTTTTATCTTTCATTATTGAATTATAATAATACAATAATTATTGGGTACGTGATTTGCAGATATTTTCTCTCATGCTGTGTTGTCTTTTCACTTTTTTTTTAATTTGGGGAACAGTGTGCTTTTCCAGGACCCATCAGCTCCAAGTCAAGTAGTTATTTCAATATAGTTGTGGAGGGTGCATCTCAGTGGCCCATGTGGGGATCCAACTGGCAACCTTGGTGTTATGAGCACTGCACTTTAACTAACAGCTAAGCGGCTGCCCCTTCACTTTCTTTTTTTTTTTTTTTCAAAGATTTTTATTGGGAATTGGGGAAGGGGAACAGTGTTGGGGAATCGAGGAAGGGAAACAGACAGGTAGACAAATTGCTGTTTAGTTCTTCAGTCTAGTTGTGGAGTACGTTGCTTCACTGGTCCATGTTGGTATGATCATTGTCCTCTTCCCGGGTGAGGCAATCAGTCGCTGGTCATTGGTCGGCCGCTCACTGTGGCTCACAGCAGCTCACGCTGGCTGCCAGCCACTCATATAGTTCATGGCAGCCCACTGCAGCTTACGCCGTTGCCGGTGACTCACAGCAACCCAGCTCCAGGTTGAGCTGTTGTTCACCATCTTAGCTGTAGAGGGCGCAGCATCACTGGCCCTCACGTGGGATCTGAACCAGGGCCCTGCTGCTCAGAGCTGGCGTCCCAAGCCAACTCTTAACCAACTGAGCCACTTGGCTGGCCCCCTTCACTTTCTTGATGGTATCATTTGCAGCACAAAAGTTTTAAATTTTGTGTAGTTTAATTTATTTTTTGTTTTGTCACTTGTGCTTTTAGTGTTGTATTACTACCTTTCTTTGAGGGAATGTTGAGTTGTGCCTTGGGTTTAAAATTCAGTAGCACAGACAGTGGTGATGCAGTTACCAGGGCTACAGAATGCAGAAAGGGATGGGTAGGTGTTTCAGCATGGGAAGTACTTGGGCAACAGAAGGCAGTGAGTTCTGTTTTGGATATACTGAGTTTAAGGTACAGAGAAGATGAGCAGAGAAAGCGATACCAAGGGGCCTGCTGGAAATACACACCTGGAGGAAAGGAAAGAAACCTGGAGCTGAAAAAAGTTGAATTGGGAGGCATCGTCTTAGAAGTAACAAGTGAAGGCACAGAAGTAAATGAGATCCATCTCATGGGAGCAGCATCTAAGAGATAAGAAAAGGGAGACCTAAAACAGCCCCCTGAAGATGATCTACATATTGTTGGGGAGTGTGTGGAGGAATGTTTGGAGGAAAACACAATGGCACAGGGACCCGAGAACATGTGCCACGTGGGAGGATGTGACTGGCAGCATCACATGGGGAGGAAAGGGGAGGTGAGGGCAGAAAGACTTGGCAGCGCCTGAGGAGGTCACTGATGGCTTCAGCAACCTGTGGGCAGCAGATTTGGACTGGGCGTCAGTGGGATGGCAGGCAGCATCAAGGAATAGGAAGTAGCTTTTAAAAATGGAGAAGGTGCAGTCGCTTAACAGAAATGCAGAGTGATACAGCTTTTCATTTTTGTTTTGTTTTTGAAGATTAGGGGTTGAGTATTTTGTGGGCTGAGGGGGAGAGAGGAAGGATTCAGTGGGACGGATTAATTGATAGGCCAAAGTGTATATATGGGAGGGACTAGGAGTAATGAGCGAAGAGTTACATTTACACCCTAGCCCCCTCCTTTTTTTGTTGTTTTTTTTGTTGGAAACATGATATCTTAATGACATTGATAAGGCAGGCTGAGATGGTCTACATTTTTAGGTTGGGCAAACTCTTCTGGAACATTTGAGGGACAACTATACAAGTAACCAAAAAAACCCATAATCTTTGGAGTCCATTAAGATTCCTTTTTTTCTTTTCTGAGGCAGATTTCCTAACACCCTTCAGTACAGTACGTGTGTCACCATTTTGTGAAATGATGATCTAGCTCAGGGGTCAGCAAACTGCGGCTCGTGAGCCACATGCGGCTCTTTGGGTACGTTCCGTCTCAAAAATTTGCTGACCCCTGGAAGAGCCAATCCTGTCCCTCACAACAATTTAAAAATTATTCGAGGGGCCGACCAAGTGGCTCGTTGGTTAAGAGTTGGCTTGGGAGCGCGAGCTCTGAGCAGCAGGGCTGCCGGTTTGGATCCCACATGGGCCAGTGATGCTGCGCCCTGTACAGCTAAGATGGTGAGCAACAACTCGACCTAAAGCTGGGCTGTCGTGAGTTGCCCGCGACAGTGTAGGCTGCAGTGGGGCTGCAGTGGGGTGCCGTAAGCTACCGTGAGCAGCCGGCAGCCGGTGTGAGCTGCCATGAGCCGCCGTGAGTGGCCGTCCAATGGCCGGCGACAGATCTGTCTCAGCCTGGAAGAGCGCAATGATCACAATACCAACATGGGCCAGTGAAGCGACGTCCTCCACAACTAGACTGAGGAACAACAGGACAGCAACTTGTCTGTTCCCCTTCCTCTATTCCACAATGCTGTTTCCTCCCCCAATTCTCCAATAAAATCTTTAAAAAAAAAAAATTATTCGAGAGTCATAAATATATTTTTACATAATCACCATTATGTGAATAATATCCTTTAACAATTTTATAAATGAAAGTATGATAGTTTTATTTTCATTTTCAATTTTACTTCAGAGCCACAGTTCACGAGCCACAGTTTGCTGACCCATGGCGGCTCTTCCATCTGAAAAGTTTGCTGAGTGCTGATCTAGTTTAAGAGCATCCCAAGGTCAGGGTTTTTATTCATCTCTGAGGAATAGCCCCTGGAACATAATAGTTATGATAATGGTAGGTTGGTGGACAAAGTAAGGAAAGGGAGAGGGCTCCATCACCCGGATACAGGAGGTAAGGTGTAAGAATGGGTATGCATGCATGTAGTGAAGGTGTGAAGTTGAAGTTCACAGTGAGTGGACTTTCTCCTGTCAGTTGAGCAGCAGACATGTTGACTGCTGAGAGCAAGTGTGGTGGAAGTCAGCCTTTTCTGCCCTCATTCTATTAACTGTATTTTCATTATAGATATAGGATGTGAGTTCTTTGTCATTGTGAACAGTAGAACAGCACGCCCTTATTAATTTTTTTAAAATATTTTTTTATTTAAAGATTTTATTGGGGAATTGGAGGTGGGGAATTGGGGAAAGGGAACAGCCAAATTGTTGTCCTTCAATCTTTTTTTTTTTTTTTTTAAATTGGGGAATTGGGGGATGGGAACAGTGCTGGGGAATTGGGGGAAGGGGAACAGACAAGTTGCTGTCATTTTGTTCTTCAATCTAGTTGTGGAGGAT